AAAAACTGCAATAACTGTATATCATTTTTTATATATATATTATATATATATTATTTGAAATTAAATTTAAAATTAGGCTATTGTTTGGAAAATAAGAATAACCCTTTATAATATACCTAATGTTTCATTTGATGTGTCCATGACTGATTTCGTCTACCGTGACAACTTCGAGTACCGTCGTAACTCAGGACTAGTTATAGTACCGCATGTATACTAATAATCACAGAGAAAAGTCTCCGTATTAGCGCCACGGTAGACAATCTTAATTCATAACATATTCGCATTCGACTCGATTAAGTACAACTTTTAGAACAATTCATTTTTAAGAAGTAATTGGTTTCAAGTGCGATACGAACATCTACTTTGATCACGAAGCTACACGATATTTTTGCTTGTTCGTATTGTATGCGCTGTCATACCGTTCATCAGATTGCGATAAAACTTTTTCAACATATTGCTTGGACTCACGAAGATTATAAGCATAGGATTTCTGGATTCTGCAACACAGCGCCACCTATTAAAGAATCCAGAAATCCAGATATCACCCGTGCGAAGCCGGAGCAGATCGATAGTATACGATAACTAACTAACTACGAAAACTAGAATTATTTTCGTCTATAAAATATTCCTTACATTTCAAACTAATTGCGGTTATTGGTACATAGTGTGACAACTCCCATGATCCATGACTCAGCCGCTAAACTATTAAGCTTATTAAATCGTGGATGCTAGATTTAAAATAAAATTATAATATTATATAGTAGCAAAATTCAAAGTATACACAATTATAATTATATATGTATCTGTAATATTGAAACAACTAGCTTCTATGAAACTTAGAGCTTTATTTGCATGATAATAAGACATAAGTAACCATTTTTAACCTTTTTGTCTGTCTGTCTGTCTGTCCGAGCTAATAATATTCGGAACAGCTGAACCGATAGTGATGAATATTTCGGTACGGATAAAGAGCAATAGCAGGAGGGACCTAGGCTATATTTAAAAAAAAAACTTCGAGAAATTAAAAAAAATCATGATATAATTGGTCTTTGTCTTATGACACCTACCGTCGCTAGGCGAAGCCGGGGTGGGTAATTAGTATGAAATATAATTGACGGCTCATCAGCGTATTGGTTAAACGCTCGGCTGTGGCGTTGCGAGCCGCGTGTACGTATTTCGCACGGAACAAGTATTTGTAGACCTTACAAATCCTCTCTTCACACTCGCTATAGTGTGCGCGGGCCGAGAAACTCTCTCTGGGACCCCGCCAACAAGCTTTCGGCTGACCTGAACTACCTCCTGGCGGCTCAGGCCGAGCCGACACACATCTCGTAATCTGTCTTAGTTAGGCACTTTTCTTAGCGGCTATTCGCCGCTTGCGCCCTCCTTTCTGTCAACGAGGGTCGCGTCTGTTTACAGCTTAAAGATCTCTCGTCAGATCGGTAAGCCAATCCCAGAAGGTGGAATTTAGTGGATAAAAGTCTCCACATAACCACGCAGCCGGCTGCGTGGTATGCTATGAGCGTTCTCCAACTCACTCCCCCGTTACCGAAGGGTTGCCCTTATTTGCTTCGGGCGCAAAAAAAAACCTTACAAATACTTGTTCCGTGCGTAATGATTAATAGTATTTTGTACGTGTATTTTTTATCCAAGTTCACATTGTGTATGTAAAACGTCTCCACGATATAGGAAAAATTGTTTTTGTGAGGATAACGTTTTTAAAAGATACAATTTTTACAACAATAGCGAACAAAGTTGTCGTATGCGAGTAGTGTTCAGTTCATTCGCCTGCATTAAATTAGTCTAATATTATTTATTTAATATACGACCTATCAGATGCTACACGTGGCTCACGTGTTTAAACATGATTAATAACGTAACGTATAAACACGCGACAAACTACCAAAAACGTGATTACTTTTAGAATATTTTCGCAAATATAATAAACATACACCACTCACATGAGTAGCACATTCGCTCTGTAGTACCACTTATATGGTGTATATATGTAAGTGGTAGTTTAGGGGCAGGTTCTTAGTTTAAAAATTCATAGTACTCGAGTACTGTATTCGATCGCGTACAGCTGTATTCGATCGCCGGCATCGATACCACTCCAAAAAGAAAATAAGTTTATTCGAAGATATTTGAAGCCATTCTAAACGCAGGGCAGCACTGCAGATTCTTTCCGTTTCTTTTATCTGAATCATGGGAAAGCAGTGCCTAACAGGGCCACCCCCTTTTTAGGCCTTTATTTTTATTTGTATTATATTATTATAGGTAAGCTTTATTATAAATTGAAATGTTTGAAAATTGCTAGTGCAATTTTGAAACATTTCAATTTCTAAACATTTCTATTTGTCCATCCTATTGAAATAATACTAGTGTTTACGGAATTTATCGCGTATATTTAACTTTTTAAATACCCGACGTTTCGAACGCTTTACAGCACTCATGGTCACGGGCGGGACTGAGATGTTCAACGTCCATAAGTCATAGTTAACCGCGGTTACCATAGATTAAAATTTAACTTTTGTTCCCATCTATGCAGTATGAACTTATGGTATCTTGAAGTCTTGCAGTTGTATGCTTGGGTTGGGATTTAATTTTATTTATTATAGAATCCCAAGCAGATGGTAGCACCCAGCCATCTTCTCTATTGAAATTAGGATGTTTTTTGATAATGATTTCTTATATTTACGCGAACACTACACATTGAAATAATACTAGTTTTTTACGGAATTTATCGCGTATATTTAACCTTTTAATTACCCGACGTTTCGAGAGCTTTACAGCACCCATGGTCACGGGAAGGACTGAGATGTTCAACGTCCAGCTGTCATAGTTAACCGCGGTTACCATAGATTAAAATTTTTTTACGGAACAAAAGTTAAATTTTAATCTATGGTAACCGCGGTTAACTATGACAGCTGGACGTTGAACATCTCAGTCCTTCCCGTGACCATGGGTGCTGTAAAGCTCTCGAAACGTCGGGTAATTAAAAGGTTAAATATACGCGATAAATTCCGTAAAAACTAGTATTATTTCAATGTTTTTTGATTTCAATAGCCTTGCGAATCATCCTTGGAAGGAATCGGTGTTCTTTAGCGAGGATCTGCGGTCTATTAAATCTGATGTAGTGACGGGGGCGATCCTGTACGTGTTCACAGACTGCAGACTTCCCGGAGCATCGATCTACAGTCTGTGAACACGTACAGGATCGCCCCCGTCACTACATCAGATTTAATAGACCGCAGATCCTCGCTAAAGAACACCGATTCCTTCCAAGGATGATTCGCGAGGCTATTGAAATCAAAAAACATCCTAATTTCAATAGAGAAGATGGCTGGGTGCTACCATCTGCTTGGGATCCTATAATAAATAAAATTAAATCCCAACCCAAGCATACAACTGCAAGACTTCAAGATACCATAAGTTCATACTGCATAGATCGGAACAAAAGTTAAATTAATATTTATGGTAACCGCGGTTAACTATGACTTATGGACGTTGAACATCTCAGTCCCGCCCGTGACCATGAGTGCTGTAAAGCGTTCGAAACGTTGGGTATTTAAAAAGTTAAAAATACGCGATAAATTCCGTAAAAACTAGTATTATTTCAATGTGTAGTGTTCGCGTAAATATAAGAAATCATTATTGTCCATCCTACTTTACGAAACGCAATAAAACAATAAATTTAATAGGAATCTTTGACCTTGTCACTTCGCAGGGTCACACACATAGGCTAGGATAGATATGATTTGAATTTCTATGGATTTCAATTTATTAATTTAATTTAAAAAAAATTATTTTTATTTTTTGTAAAATATTAGTGCCATAGGCTTTACTCCGTTCATATGTTACACCCTATTTTTTTCCAGACGGTAAAAAAAGTCATCCAGTATATTTGGATGTTTGCCGTGTGGCAGCAGCGTAAGAGATCTTATATCCTATTATGGCTATCCTATTCTTCCAAAAGATAATCGAGTAATAACCATCTCACTTACGCCAGACGTAAAATGCTCAGACTGGCGATGGGTAGCAGCAATGCCAGACATGAACGTTTAGTTCTGCTATTATCCGGCTGCCTACCAAGCGTGGCAAGCAAATAATCCTATTAAGCAATCTATGGGAGAGGCCTATGTTCTATGTTTAATATATGTGAGCTTTTGATAGGCTGTGACCGTTAACATCATTACGGTATAGTCGTCTCGTTTACATATTATCGCTTCAATAAAGACAGACCGGGTAATATACTGATAAGTACAGCGGACCCCCGGTAATCCGGCCCCCGTCTAATCCAGCACCCGCTGTAATTCGACATGGTCTATTATTTATTATTGAATATTTTTTTGACAATTATCGCTAATGCATGATTGAACAAGTTATAACTTGTACGTCCCACCCCTATTGTGCTCGACGCGTAGGGTATTGTTTTGATTCTGATTGAAAAATTTGATTCTGAAAATGGTTGAAAGATCATAATTTTCCTCAAAAAGCGTTATTGCTTCTTGATAACGCTCTTAAATTGATGCTTCTTAAATTTATTGATTCGTAATTTTTTGATTATTTTAGTATGTGCATTTGTTTGTAGTTTGTACACAATTATTTGCTAATGTAAAGTTATTGCATATTTTTGTAAGTTAGTTAATGACATTAATTTTATAATAAAACGTAAGCTCTCTATTGTGTTATTTAATTTACTAAATTTGACATACATAATGAAGTATTATTTGTACTTCAGAGTTCATATATATAACATAATATAGAATTTTATCATTGGATCTGTAATTTGTCGGATTACAAAGTACCTACTCTTTTGTAAAAAATTCCGGACTGTAGAGGTCTTAGGCAGTACTCTATAATCCGACAAATTCTATAGTCCGACACTAAACTGCAAAATGTTTGTCGGATTCCCGGGGATCCACTGTATAAATAATCAAAACGCACATTAAAGAAGCCTGACTATATAGGTAATTGACAAATGTGTTCTTTTGTTTCAGTCGAAGCAGCGGGCGTCGATTAAATGGCTGCTATCTAAGGCGTTCAACAACAGGGTCCCGGAGAATCTTCAAGAGCCCTTCTATAGGGATCATGAGGTCAGTTAACTTTGTAGCGTCTATTGACTTTACTATAAATACGATAATCGCTTTCGATTATTGGCCAAGTCTCGGAGCAACTTTCAGTTATTTACGGGCTAAGTGGTCTGAGTGTACCTCACTACCGGATTGTAATGTCTAGATTTTCATTCCATCCGAAGCCAACATTTATGTTAATACATGATTTAATTCCTTTATGGGGGGAGAGGGGCTTTACTTTAACAATCGACCAACTAGAGAGTTGGACCCTATAATGTTGACATTCCACCCCTTAGCACTAAACGGTTTGCCTGGTCTTTTATAATGTTATACAACGAAGGACTAGAATAATTAGCCAGCGTCTGTCTTTTCGTCCGATTGTAAAGTGAATGATTATTGTCACGTGTGAGTTTGCTTCTATACACTATTTGGCGCTTCATCACCATGTACCAACAGGTGGGATTGTATTAAAAAATTACTTGCTGTTGCCGTATTCTCTGACACAACATTCTAACATACTTTCCGTCTTATCGCAAGTGTCATCTCATCGGGCACTCGTACGTTAGGACCACACTGGTTTGTCTTGCGAATCTATATGCACAGTTGATATCTTTTAACGGTTTTTGTATTTTTCGAATGATTAAGGGTATAAAAATTTGCAATCTTATTGCGTATTAAGTAAAATATTTATTACAAAATTCTTTCCTTAATATCAATCATATTTAAGTAAGTCATCCGAAGTTATTAATTTATTTTCTTTGTCGAAAATAGCGTAATAATTTTTTTTAACTCGACTTCAGTTGTCATTACATCTGGTTGAGATTTATATATGAATGCAAAGGCAATGTCACTACCGTGGAAGTATACTCGATTGATGTTTAAATAGTCGGTTAAATTGTTTTTCTAATCCGGGAGTGATACATTCATTAAAAATACATTCGAATAGATAACTTTATTTGTTTGAAGTGGGTTAAAAATACTTTTCAGTTATATTTATGTTTTAAGATATATTAATGGGACGTCATTTACGTTTTTTAAAATAATCATTAATGCCCAATAATTTTACTTAATATTTTTTTCCATTTTCCGAAAAAAACTTGTAAGTTTTTCTGATAAAATATTTAGTAAAATTCGCTCCTGATATAATTGCTCTTTATTTTTTTATGAGTTTCATCACAATCGATTCAACCCTTACAGTATTTATACGTGGTAGAGCCATGCAGCAGCTATATTTTGGTTGTAGCATGAATGGGTCGGCTCGACCGGGGAAAGTTCAAGCTCTCACAGAATACTACCGTAAAATAGCAGCTTATTGTTGCTTTGTTTCGTATGGTGAGTGTAGAGAACCGGATATCCGTTTCAATGGAATCGAGGCATTCCATCTTAGTCCTCAAGGGTGACAACGCATTTTGATTCTTAATCAAGGTTAAATGTAGATGTCCATGGGCCACAGAATCCACTTAGCATCAGGTGGACTGTGTGCTGATTTGTCACCCTTATCCTATAAAAAAGCAAGCATAGATTTCTTATGTATACTGTAAGATTCAACCAAAGTGAAAATTTGCCCGGCAGCACGGACAAAAATTTTACAAATTGTTATTCACCTTGCAAATAACTCCCTTAGCACTACAAAAAACAGATATCAATGTTTCATACATTTCCATTTTATTTTTAAGTGTAGAGGCATATACTATTAATTAATTTATTACATCCTATCTTTAGTCCATTGCTGAATATAAACATCTCCTATGGATTGACTCGTAGAAGGTATATAATATATAAGTCATATGTATGTACTTGCTACGGTTTGCAGACGTGTTGACATTTGACAACCACATTTATTTATATGTTGTAGAGATACGCTGCAGCTATATTATGGTTGTAGCACGCAAGGGTCGGCTCGACCGGGGATGAACCACACTTTCGCATAATACCAGCGTAAAATAGCAGCTTCATGCGGCTGTGTTTCGTATGGTGAGTGTAGAGAACTGGAGACCAGTTTTAATGGAATTGAGGCATTCCATCTTAGTCCTCAGGGGTGACAATAATATCTACATTTTGATTCTTAATCGAGGTTAAATGTAGATGTCTTGGGCCACAGCAACCACTTTGATAAGTGGTTGTTGTGGCCCGATGGTTCGGGAGGAATGTGTGCACCTGAATTCTTAAAAAAAACTACTGCGTTGACATCGGGAAAATGCTGCTGTTCTTTCAGTTTTCCCCTATCGCTTCTTCCGTCACCTGTGGGATAGTATGGAGTACTGTATTAGATTATCTACACGGCACTAACGACTATAATTATTATAATGTTATGGTTAGTGATTTTATCTTGTTTATTTATACAAGTTGCGTGTATACATAACATCAGGTAACGGTGATATAATTAGAATCCTAATGAAGTAATCAACAAAGATAAAAGAGCATTGCTCCCATGGTCAGTATACTTTTTATGTGTTTCTTTGTGTTTCAGTGTGAAATAGCGTTGTTCATTACGAAATAGTGTACATTAAACGTTATAGAGCCACGCTGTAGCTGTATTATGGTTATAGCACGAATGGGTCGTCTCGACCGGGGATGGACCACGCTATCACAGAATACAAGTGTGAAATAGCAGCTTAATGCTGCTGTGTTTCGTATGTTGAGTATAGAGAACTGAAGACCCTTTTTACTGGAAACGAAGTTTTCCATTTTAGTCCATGGGAGGGGGGGGGGGGTGAGCCTCGTCCAGCAAACAGGAATGCGAGCGTACTGCGTGATTGTGAGGTTTGCATTTGGAAAAAACTTGTGTACAAGAAGGAAATCCTCGCCATCAAAATTAGTCCATGGTTATTGATATATTGACGTTGAAGATCTTTAATTTTATAATCTTTGTGCTGACCCTAAATGCAATAGCAGCATTCTTACCTTTGAGTTTACATTAAGCCGGGTAGTTTTCAAAGAAATATTGAATAAAACAACTGACTATCGTTTATTTAATGTTTTCCACAAACAACGTATTTTATTAACTTCTCCATTCTATTAGCTATTTGCTTTACTTAAAAAATGAAGTCCATACTTCAATTATTTTGTATATTTGTAATCAAGTGGAAAGAAAACACACCGACTAATGGAATTATTTAGAATGGTGTTCTATAAAAGTCACGTAAATCATAATAGCGTCAGGTTAGTTGTCAGAAAAGCATTACGTAAACAAACTTAATAAAATGAGAAAAGATTAACAGGAAACATTCTATAAATTTATTTAATCGTAATGAAATGTTTAGTTGAATTTTGTTATAATCACATGGTCACGCATAGCTAATACCATAATACTACTATTATTTAATTTTTGTTTTTTTGGGAAGCTATAAATCATGTGTTATATACTTGGCTACAAAAAGTACAGACTGCCTTTGAATAATAGAAAAGCTCTCGAAGCGACCAGCCGGTTTATTGAAACCTTTACTACCTTTTCCTGTGATCCTTTGTTTTTGCAATTCTCCTTTTGCTCATTGAACAAACTCCTTAGCCGGTTTTCGTTGCAGCTTCACTGTTGTTGTACTTGTATCCATATTATACACGTATTACCTATTGCATATAATATATTGTTTGTTTAGTGTTTCTTATGTGTATTGGATTTAGAATAAAATAAACGTTAAATAATCACCATAAATGTCAAATAATAATTTTATGATTTGAAAATCAAGGTAGCTTGGTTTTTGTTTTACCGTTTATGGTAGGTATGTACCTAGAGTAATTGGATTTTTGTTCATTCTACCTGTATATACCTTGTCTTCTCATAAATCTAGGAAGTGAATAGCTATTTTCTATTCCAACTAGCACTCTACCCGTTGTCGTGTCAGAGCGGCGTAAAAGAAAACACATCACCTTCTTTCGCGTAATTTGTGTCGCAAAAGGTTACTTTGGGAAATGTCAGAAAAATGTTACGGCTTCCGATAGGTGGCGGTATAATCGGAGAGTTCCATGAATAGTCAAGATGGCCAGTTTTAAATCAGATGGTATGCTGTTTGAAAACTTGGTTAAACTTGATTTTATTTGGAAATATGTTTTTTTAAAGACAATAGTTAAACAATCGAAATGTTCATTTATGACTCACGGGACATTGAAAAGGTTAAAGTTGTTAATGTTACGTCGAAAAAACATCATGATCTACATTTAAAACATATCCAAAACGAACGATCTGCTCGCAGTTTACGTCCTTGAATTCAAAGCCAGTATTTGCAATGTTTAAGCTCAGCCATATTATCGATCCAGCCAGTTGTATGGGGTTGGTGCTCAGCGAGACACGCAACCAGATCCGTATTAGATGAATGTGAATTTAGAAGTGCCTTACTGTCGGGAGCGTGGAACGGACCTTATATTTCGTGATCCATGTTCGGTTCGGTTTTTGGTTAGGATGGTTCAAATTAGTTGCGTGTTCAAGGTACGCTTTTGAGGATTAAAATCTATCTGATATTTTATTTACTCAATTACTTAATGTTAAACAATGTCCTAAATTAGATCGTTTTTATGGCTCATGGTTAAAGATTAAATTTTCTCTTTTGACAGTAGCTGTAAACGGAGTGTAGAAGTGGATTACTCTATTAATTCTCTATTAATCTAAAACTATTCATCCGTTTGCGTATTCTCTCCCTTGCGGATCTGCTTTTGCAAATTGTTCTTGAGAACAAGTTCAAGGATCTGTAAGTGGTAACATGAAATGGGAACGGACTCAAACACTTTGATCTCTTGTATGCAAATAAGTGTTCCATCCTATTAAAGTCCACTGTTGAATATAGGCCTCCTCCGGGGATATTTGCAATAGTTGCTACGCTTGGGCAAGCGGGTTGGCAACCGCAGTTTTTGTTTCCCTCTGTCACTTCCTACCACATCCACGGGATGATATGGGGTAGCGGATATTCTTACGCCGCCACTGCACGGTGACATACCGTACAGTTTATTCATATAGTTAATAATTTTAAATTATTTAAATAACTGTTTCTTTGCAACACTCTAGTTAATTAGTATTAATACAAGTACAA